TTCATCGTTCAGAATTGACCACAAGTGTGAAAATCGCTGTCTGCAAGATTATAATAGACAGAGCCCTGAAGCTACGTATTAATGAATTTCTTATGAAATAAAGTATATCAAATTAACCTTATGCAATAATTACTTGGCCAAGTTTGCTAATGACATCAAAAACCGTGGAATGAACTACTTTAAAGCTGTTTGTAACAATAACAAGACTAAACCTCAATTCTACGGTGTCATAAAATCAGTGAAACGTTATTAAGTATAATATTGATGTTATGTATAAAAGCTGTTGTTAAGCTGAAGGGTTATTAAATAATTTTGGGTATAGTAACTCTCTAGTTTCGGTTTACAATTTATAATGTAACTGCAGTTACTTAGAAGCAGGGAACATCGTCACAAAAATAAAGGCCCACCTGTCAAGCTGGAGAAAATGGATGATCGTGGGCGAGTATGAACGACAAGTGGTAACGAAGGACCCAAGAAGAAAACAGTGCCTCTCCCCCAGCAAAGTCAAGAAACAATGCAGGAAGACCTCCGGGATTGTGCAGTGTGCGGCCAAGCAGTGACACTCTTCGAGATGGTCTGATAATAGCGGCATCATCAAAGCGAGGCATTGGTTACACAGGCGGATAATAAGTCATTATTCATCCAATCCTGCTAAAACGTCAACCGTGACAAAGGATTCGTACTGTGCGCGGATTTGATGAACCTCGTTGTCCCAGTCATCGGAAAAAACTAACCCGTGGCATGGTCAAAAAGCTTGTCATCTGGCTGTGAAATTATTGACTGCTGCGGACGACATTCACGAAACTTCACCACCAATCTGCTTTGATGAAGGCCCATGAGACACGAGCCGAAACGTTTGTATCGATCAGTCACCGCGCTGACCGCAGCATCTTTGGCGTTGTGTATAAGTAAACCGTGTTTGATGTTTGACGCTTCGTTTCTAATATGCAAGTTTAACTAAAAATTAGTATTCCAGTGGTATGGAGAATGAATAATTTGGTTTTAGCGAAACCCTATTCTTATGTATGGCATTTGCTTTGCACTGGAGGTGAAGCACGCTTGCACGAAGTAAAGGATAAGCGACGATCGCGGAGAATCCCAGAGCCTAAAGTAGCCACTCATCATCTATACTGCAAGGGAAGCCAACAGCATGAAAGAGCTAATTCATTGGTTATCTCGGTATGCGCTGGCTGTTAGCTGCACCCCTACTGCGTGTACTAGAAATTCACTTTCTACTGTTTTATATCATTTATCAAATTCTGTCTTTTATATGGCCCACGTATATTTATCACCGTGTTCTTGTGGAACAAATTCTTGCCAGAACCTCGCAACTGACCCTTTACCACAAATCAAAACGGCTAGTTGACAAATTTTCTAATCTCCACGTTAAAAGCCTGACTTGGGACTTCACAACAACTAGAAATATGACAGTGACGGTCGCCTCGTTTCTCTTTCTTAATTGGAAAGCAACGTTTGCCACTTTTATGGGCACGATATCTAACTAAATGCGGCAATCCATCAGCTAACTCAGATTAGTAGTCAGTTAATTACGAGCTCGCTCTTTACGTGCATGGGTCGAGACAAAATCGATTTTTCACATTACATTCGCATTGATTTTCTGCAAAGTGCATTAAAGACCGCATATTTTCTTTTAACATCAGATTTCTTAAACATCGGATGGTGGTGTTAATGATATTTGCTAGTGGGCTTACGCACAAAATAGCGATTGTGATAGATTGTGAATATTCTCCCTAAATCTGAGGTGTCATGTTCTCCTCCACGAATGAAATTCTTGCATCCTAAGGATGGATTATAGATTGCGGGCCCAATTCCAGTTTATAAAGTAAATTCTTCCAGCTGCTCGAAATTGATTGCTACTACCAACATTTGAACTGATTGACACGTCGTTTCCTTAGCGCATAACTTTACCAACACTAATTTTGCGACATATTGCACAGCTTTCTTGCTTCAGGTTGTTAATGGGCATTTAAACGGGTCATGGTTACGTGATATTTGAATATCTGCTGTGTTGTGTGCATCAGGCATTGTTTGTTTGCTGGAATAACCTCGTGCTC